GGGACCTAGATCTCTGTAATAGGATTATAGTTATATAAAAGCTGTAAAAATGAAGCGCTTCGACCTAGTTTTATGTCTGTATATCAAGTGGCATTACACTCTAAAATGGGTCCAGGATAACGGTCCAAAAATGACTGAAGTTAGAAAAGCACTGCAAAAAAAGAAGTTATTATTTCCTCCCTCATTTAAGCTGAGCTTTGGGAGGTCTGTTTCTGAATTGCAAGACGCTGGTCCTCTGACTTTCTGGGTAATGTTTCCAGGCCTTTGGCACAAGGCAAAGACACCTCTCAGTTTCTGGGCTGAGAATCATCCAAATAGAGCAGAGGAGATGAGACGTGCCCTGGGAGTGAGGTAGAGTGAAGGTTTCAGAGAGCCTTGGCTGCTGGCCTCTGGGGTCCCAATCCAGGACCCCTCCCCAGCCGCCCACTGGGACAGCAGCAACAGAGCAGGAGACACTGAGCCAGGCGTGCAGGGTCCACAGAACGAGAATGAAGACTTGCCCTGTCTTGGCGACCAGCGATTGAGCGCGATTGAGCACCGCGGCTCAATTACAAGACACCAGGTTTGCTCTGGTGGCCAGGGCGCTCACCTGAGCTGAGATGGACCCTTCAGGTCTGTGCTCTGCAGGCTGACCCCACACCCACACTGACTTTTGTGGGGGCTGAGGTCCTGAGGAGCCTCTCCCCCATTCAGGGAGTGGTGGGTGGGCGAAGATGGGCTCCTCACAACAGCTCCTTTAATGTCTCCAGGAGTTCAGGTGACCAGCTTCTTCTCTGTAGCCCAGATGCTTGCAGTGTGTGTGTGTGTGTGTGTGTGTGTGTGTGTGTGTGTGTGTATGTTTGTGTGTGTTCCCATGTGGAAGGAAAGGGATAAGATTTCCGAGGCTGGAGCTGCTGGGTGGGGGTCAATCAGGACAGGTCTTCTGGAAAGCCCCTCCCTCTCCTGGCTCTGGTCTCCTGCCCCACAGCAGCGTCCTGCCTCAGCTCCAGTTTCCTCACAGGACCTCCCCTCCTCCTGGTGCCCTTTCCCAGAGTCTGAATTGAGGGTGGGTACGTATCAGGCCCCATATCACTGAGGGATATCCCAGGAACTCTGTTCCTTCTCTCTGGATGGCCCTCGTGTCTGTGGGAAGGGTCAGGGAGCTATATTTCTGTCCTAACTTTGAGGATAAAACTCCGCTCCGGAGGCCTGTGGCTTATCTTAGACGCCACTTGTCAGATATACTGAGCACTCTATTTCCCCTTCCCATGGTCTTGCTTGATGTTTCAAGGTCCTGATTTATTTGTGGTGGCAAGAGAGAGGAGAGAGGATTGGTGTGGGTTCTGGAAGCACTACGTCTCAAGTTGAGGGACAAACTGAAACTGAGTATTTTAATACTCTTCTCCCCACCACCTCGACGTCGAGTGACTGTATCAAAGGAAGTGCATGTATGTGTTGGAAGGTGGGGAGAAGGTAGAGTGATAAATGGAGAAATCCTCAATTGTGAAGTGTTCCTTTTTCATTTTGGATTCCTACTGGGCTGTAGCATAGGTTCTGTGTCTTTTATAGTAGAAATATTTGAATAGTCAGGTTGTAAGATTTATTTTATTCTAAATTAACACACAACACTAGGATGCAAAGCCCTATTAGAATGTAAGCCCCGCAAAGGCAGGATGATCTGTGTGTCAGAGCCCACAGCTTGGGGGAGCTGATAGTGCATCTCTCCCCAACTGTGTCCAGTGACATTACCTTTGTAGCTTGAACACAGCCATGGGGTACTTACACCATGAAAACTGATAAATGCTCCAAAGCAGCGCTTTTTCTCCTCCAGAGAGCTGGTTACTAAACATCTACCACTAGACAGATCTCTCCCCAGCTTCTGGCACAGGGTAGGCACTCAGATATGCAAGGACGGAATAAATGAGTGAACAACCACCAAACACACACACACACACAAAAGAAAACCCACAAAGGAAGAAGAGAAGCAACAGCATTCTCTAAGTTCAACTCAACAAACATCATGTGCCAGGTGCTGCAGGGAGAGAGTAGACACTTGTTTTCTGGGGTAGCCCAGCATCGGACCTTCCCATCTGGGGCAGCTGCCAATTCTCATTGCTCAGGTCCTGGCATGCTCCTGTTAGAGCTGAAGTCTACAAGGACCATTCTGGGGATGGCATGGGCAGTGTTGCCTAACAGTGGCGGTGGTAGTAGTCTGGTGTCCAACAGGATAGGTCCTAACCAGAACTGCTCCTGGGCCATGACTATGACCTTGGCAAGGATTTCAGCCCATGTCTGTAGCTGATTCTCCAGCTTCCTGTCCATTCCATAAGCTCCCAATGCCCTTCCTCTAAGCAACTTTTCTGCTTCAGTTAATGACACTCTTTTCTGTGGTTTCCTGTGTGTCAGATTAGGTAAGATGTGCAGAGATCTATTGGGGGGAAATGCCAGGAAGGATAAATGGGAGGGAGTAGAAGTGGGGAGAGCCTTCAGGATATGGTGTAGACCTGAGGTGTGGCAGCTGCATGCTGTCAATCAACCGTGCTTTCTACACTATGCTCTTTTTTTTTAGTTTCAGGTGTACAAAACAATGTAATAGTTAGACATTTCACCCCTCACAAAGTGATAACCTCCTCCCCCAATCTATTGCCCCTCTGACATTGTATATATCTATTACAATACCATTGACTATTCCCTATGCTATACTCCATATCCCGTGACTAGATATATATTAAATTATAGTTGACATACAATATTATTCAGCTTCAGCTTCAGGTGTACAGTGCAGTGGTCAAGCCTCTACCCCACCCATGAAGCGGTCTCCCTAATAAGATGTGCCCATCTAACATTCCACTCTTAGGTATCTATCCAGAGAAATCCAAAACGCTAATTCAAAAAAATATATGCACCATGCTCTCTTGAGGGGCACCTTCAGGACCCCCACAAACCTCTAGTACAGGGTACAATGATGAAAGAGGTCCCTGCCCTTGTAAAGTTCATTATCTAGAGGGAGAAAAACAGGCAAATATATCCCTGCAGTAGTTCACAGGTGCACAGAAGCTGGTGCAGGGAAGGCTTCCTGGAGGAGGTGCATCCCAGGAGCCTCAAGGTTCTGGGAATTTTTTTTAAAAATATTTTTATTGGGGAATTGGGGAGATGGTAACAGTGCTGGGGAACTGGGGGAAGGGGAACAGACAAGTTGCTGTCGTTTTGTTCTTCAGTCTAGTTGTGGAGGACGCCGCTTCACTGGCCCAAGTTGGCACCATCACTGCACTCTTCCCGGGCGAGGCAGATCAGTCGCCGGCTTCTGGACAGCCGCTCACTGTGGCTGCTGGCCACTCACAGTAGCCCATGGCAACCCACTGCCACAGTGGCTGCAGCCCACGCCATCGCGGGCGACTCAGGGCAGCCCAGCTCCAGGTTGAGCTGTTGTTCAGCATCTTAGCTGTAGAGGGCATTGTCACTGGCCCTCATATGTGGGATCCGAACCGGGGCCCTCTGGCGTCCCAAGCCAGCTCTTAACCAACGCGCCACTTGGCCGGCCCTGGGAATTTTGCCCTTTCCCTTTCTCTCCAGCTTTCCATCCCAACCCAACCTCACAAAGAGATTTGGCTACTTATTTCTTGGTCGTGCCCTTGGATCTGCAAACTGCAAAACTGATAAAAATGTAGGGAGTCCAGGATATACGTGGAGGGAGCATGGGGCAGAGGGAACTAACTTTTATTGAGCACCTTGTAGGAGCTTTACAGAAGCCGATTGCTTCCCTACTCTGCCAGCCTCTGTGTGAGGCTCAGGTAAGCCAGCTGAGACTTAAGGAGGTGACATGAGTTGCCCAAGTTCACACACAATGAGAGGCAGAACAGGTCCCCAGCCAGGTCTGTCTGCCTCCCAAGGCTGTACTCCTGCCCGCCTGGGCTACCCCAACTCCCAGGTGGAAGGGAATCTCCTGAAGCCAGTGAGAGGCACAGGGCCAGTGCAGAGGGAGAGACTCAGTGGAGGGATGGTCTTACACTTCTTCCTGGAGTTTTCTTTCTAAGCCACAATGTGTGTGTGTGTGTGTGTGTGTGTGTGTGTGTGTGTGTGTGTGTGCACGCGCGCACACCAGTTATGCACACCAGTTTTTGGTGAACAATTATATGCTGGGCAAGTGCTCACAACATCCCTCTGAGGTAGCAGGATGTGAGGTTTGAAGAGAAATACTTGTCCAAGCCGCTAACTGCTGGAGCCCAGCTGGTGGGTCCAAGGCTGCCCCCTAACTGTGTGGGTTCTGCCTCCCCAACCTCTGGGTCTTCTTTGCAGCTGGGTGGGGAGTAATTAAATCATGGGCCTGGCTGTCTAAGAAGAAGTGATCATAGAGGAAAAACAGGAACAGCTCAGGAAGGTGCCTCGCTGCCTGGCCACCTACCCCCCAGCAGAAGTAGTTTCCTCCCACTTTACAGGGGACCTTTGACCAAGCTCAGAAAATTCCTGGCTGATGGGGGCAGGGAGTAGGGCTTTTTGAATGGAAGAAACTATTTTCCTTTTCTAGAGAGGCTTTGGGTAATTCCACTCCCTTTTCTCTGCCAAGATTGATCTTTGCCTAAGAATTCACACAAGTTCCCAGGGGCCCCTGCTACACAGCTGCTGCTTCTCTCTCCATTCATAGGTAAGAAGTGGGCCAGATTTAAAATGCTTATGTTTTAATACACATTTTGTCTGAGCATCAATCAGCAATGGCCCAGGGAGATGACCTGCAGGAGTTAGGGGTCTGAAGAGGGGGTGAACTCGCTGGTGACTTTTCTCTGCCCCAGTGGAGGCCAGGGGAGAAATGACCAATGGCCAGGGTAGGCAAGGGACCGAAGGCAGAAGAGGAAGGGGTTAAAGGGACCTCCCACCTCCCACGTGCCTCGGGGCCAGTGCTGTTTTCCTGGGGATGGGTGATTTCTAGTTCCAAAAAGGGATGGCAAGCAAGGTGTGCCTTGGTTGAGAAAAAGAAGCACAACTAGGAAAGGAAAGGAAATTTATCACATTTATTGAGCCTCTGCCTTGATCCCAACTTGATGGGGGTGCAAGCTTTACCCTCAGGGACCCCACAGCTGAGTCAAGGAGACTCAGATTCCCACGGTGTGAAGCACCATAGACAGACAGGGGCGGAGACTGAGGGAGCAGTGCCTGCTGTGGTGTGGGGGAGATTTCTAGAGAAGGTGACATCACCAGGGTCCTGAGGGATGAGGAGGCGTTTGCATGGTAGAGGGAGTTTTCCAAAGGGCATTCTAGGCGGTGGAAGCCAGCTGGGGGTGGGAAACAGCAACATTGCGTGGAGAAACTCAACTGTGGCTTAAGTATAGAATTCGGGGGTGGAGACGAGCAGGGGCTGGACACAAAGATGCGTCGTTTGTAAGGTGGGCGTGGAGGTGGGAATGACACAGAACTGGAAGACTTGGGCACAGAGCAAAATGGGACTGGAGAGATGACTGACGCTGGCCCAAGAGAGGAAACACGTGGTCACGCCTGCAGAGTCGGGGACAAGCCAAGGCTTGGCTCAGACCCAAGGGGCCAGAGGCCCAGGGCATTGCAGGTCACCGTGGGGGCCTCTCCACGGGGTCATGCCCTCCCACCGGGATTGGGATGATTGTCAGCAGGGTGGGTGGGGAGAGATGGGGCGGGGAGGAAGCCAGCCAGCGTCAACGAAAGTCCAACCTCCTCAGGCGTTCCGCGCGGCCGGGCCAACCTCCCGGGCTGGGGCCGAGGCTGCGGCCGGGGCGGGTACCATCGGAGCGGCCCTGCCAGCCCTGCGCGCCAGGCCGCACCTGGAGACAGGTAGGAAGGCTGTGGGACTGGAACCCGCCGGCGTGGGAGGCTCACCCCGGGGCTGCCGGAGGAATTCGCCCGCCTGTCCTCCAGGGAGAGCGGCGTCGAGGAAGTAAGGAGCACCCCGCCCCCGACTCTGTCCGCCGAGGCGGGCGCCGCGCTGGGCCCCCGGTGGCTCCGCACCGGGCGCGCGAGAGCAGGGGAGGAGGTCGGGGGCAGAGAGGAGCCTGCGGGGGCCGAGCGCCTCCTCCGA